GACCCTGTTTTGCATTGACATAAGCAGAAGAGTTTCTTTTTCTTTTCTTGCTTTTTTTTTTTTTTTTAAATATATTTTATTGATTTTGTACAAAGAAGAAGGGAGAGAGAGAGTTAGAAACATCGATGAGAGAGAGTCATTGATCAGCTGCCTCTTGCACACCCCCTACTGGGGATATGCCCCCAACCAAGGTACATGCCCTTGACCGGAATCGAACCCGGGACCCTTCAGTCCCCAAGCTGACGCTCTATCCATTGAGCCAAACCGGTCTCGGCCAGAAGAGTTCCATGATCTGACTTGGCATTTAACATTATGGCTTAGGGGGTGGGGGGACAGATTGTAGGGGAGACAGAACCAGCACTCTCATCCCCTTTCCCTGTCATAGATGTTCCTATATCAGCCTGCCCGCTCCCTTCTCTCCTTGGCCCGGTCCACTGCAGGACTCACAGGCGGGGACAGAACACCGCCCACTTATCCCCAGAGCCTCAGGCCGCACCGGGCACCCCAGTTCCCTGGCTCCGCCCCTCGTGCCCAGGCCCTGCCCCGGGAACCCTATAGAAGGTGCAGGCACAGCCCCATTCCCGCCTCTGTCCTGGAAGCCACGCCCCCGCGCTCTAGGCTACGCCCACACAACCGGCCGGCAGGTGGCGCTGGCGCCCCGCTCAACCCATCACCGGCCCCGCCCTTCCCCTCGAGGCCCCGCCCCCTCGAGGTCTCGGCCCGTCCATTGGTGGCTCGCGGGAGGAGCCGGCCTCAGTCTTGGCTGGCCCCGCCCGAGGCCCCGCCCCCGAGGCCCCGCCCCGTCCGTTGAGCGGCCGGCAGGAGGCGCCGCTCGGCTCGGGCCGCGGCGGCCGGCGGGTGTGGGCGCCACGCGGAGGGAGGCGGCGGGCCGGGCTGGAGGTGAGTGCGGGCAGGGGCGCGAGGCGGGCGGAGGTGGCGGGCGCGCCGCTGAGGCGGGGGCTGCGCGGGGCGCGGCGGGCGGGCGGGAGGCCGCGGGACGCGCGCTCGGCGGCGGGGCCCTCACGGGACATCTCGGGGCCCTGAAGCGGGGCTTGTCCCGTTGCCATGGCAACCGGCGGTCCGGGGCCCATCGACCCGGGGCGCGGGTCCTGAAGGCCGGCCGGCGGGGCGGGCGGCCCTGCCCCGGAGGACGCCCCCGCCCGGCCTGGGGGGTTCGGGGAGGCGGGCGGGGTCCAGCCTCCTCACGGTCTGGCATCCCCACCCGCCGGCCTGCTTTTCCCGGTCACCGGGCCGGCGGCCCCAAGCGCGGCCTCCGGCGATCCCTGTGCGGCTTCCCGCCCTCGGCCATTCCGCACCTGACCGAACGGAACCGGGGCCGCAGGACCGGGCCGGGCCGGGGGCCGGGGGGCCGGGCGGGGGCCGGAGCCGGGGCGGGGGTTGGGGGCCGCGGGGCCGGCTGTTTCCCCCGGGACCGGCGGGCAGGGCAGCCCCGCCGCTCCGCCCAGCCTGTCAAGTGCCGGTGAATGCGGATGGCCGGCCGGGAAGAATGTTCCAGCCCCGTCACAGGTGTCTCCGGAGCCGCCACCTCCGTGCATTCCAGAGCGGAGCCAGCCCGCAGGCCGGCGGGAGGCCGGCGTCACCCGAACCGATTAAATGATTCTGTGTAAAAGCTCGCTCTGGCTGGGGCTCGGGGATGGGTTTGTGGACGGCCGGACGGCCGGACGGCCGGGATAACGCGGCCGGCGCCCTGCCCTCTCTTCCTGTCCGGCCCGTCCTGGTGGGGACGCTAATGGATTCCACATTGCGTGTCCCCCGCCCATGGCGTCATCCTCGCACTGACCTCGCTCGCGGCTCCCGCTGGGGCGACTGGAGCTTGTTTTCATCAGAACTTGGCCTCTTCCCCGAGGAGGAGACCAAACCTTCCCTCGGAGGAACAGAAGCAGAAGCGGAGTCCTGCGCCTTCGGCCGCGTCCCGGGCTCAGTGTGACCGGCCAGCGGCCGAGGGCGGGAGCAGGAACGGGAAAGGCAGGTTGAGGCTCCCCTGCCCCCCAGCCGGGCCGGGCGCCTCGTCCTGGGAAAGAGTCCGCCCGCCCCGTCCTGACCAACAGGCTGCGCTGGGCCTGGGGTGGGAGGGAAGGTGGGAGGGAACAGTGGCGTTCGTGGCTGCTCTCTGCAAAGCCACGGAGCGAGCGGAGCCTCCTGGTCAAGGACGAGGGCCCCTGTGCCCCCGCCTCCTGGGCCTCGGAAGGAGCGAGCGGAGAGGCAGGAACCACGTTCTCCTTCGTGCGCCCGGAAACTGCTGGAAGGAAGGAGGGCCCTGGCTCCCAAGCCCTGGCACGGACGATATAATTTGTTATTTATTTTTTGTGAAAACAGAATTGCACTGGGTTTAGATGTTACCGAGCCTCGATCCACCCCAGCGAAAAACAGCAACTCACGTCCTCGCTGGTTAGAGCACTGGCCCTCGGACCGAAGGGTCTCGGGTTCGGTTCCCGGTCCCTGTTGGGGTGTGTGGGAGGCGGCCGATTGGCGTGTCTCTCTCACATCGATGCTTCTCTCTCCCTCTCCCTCCTCACCTTTCTCCTTCCTTCCACTCTCTCTGGAAATCGATGGAGAAAATGTCAAAACAGAAAAATAGCAGCCCACCCCCACTGCACCTGGGGCCGTTCTGCTGAGCCGCAGTGTCTGCGTTTTCAGCGTCGCACGCACAACCACACACCCCTCCAAGGCCAGGCGTCGGGTGTGGTTGACACGGGGCTCTGCCTGGGGGAGGAGGCCCTCGGAGGGGGTGTCCGCGCGGCTGTGTCTGTGATGGGGGCAAAGCCGGGCCGTGTCCGGTGTGTGCTCTGCCATGCTCGGCTGTAAGCCAGCCTCTGGCGGCCCGGGCTGGGGGAGCCATGCCAGGGGCTCCCTGGGGCTGACGGGACCAGCCATACCACCTCGCTCCTGGGAGAAGCGAAGCCTCAGCGACCTCCATACGGCCTCCTCCCGTGCGGGAGCAGCAGGCTGCGGGTGGGTGCCCCAGCTCTCCCACCGCCCCTGGAGCCGGGAGGGAGCCGGACTGAGGGCTTTGGCTTCCGCTGAGTTTAGCTATTGACATCTGTCACAGGTGCCCAATGCCACGAGGTCCTTACTGGGACCTGGACACTGTTTCTAGAAGCTTCTAGAAAATGAGCTTCTCTGGCCTGCCTGCTCTCGTCTCTGGTGAGGGCATGAGCACGGAAGTGGGCCCGTCCTCGCTGATGTGGTGCTGAGCTTCGTGTTTGTGTGTGGAGATGCCCTCAGCCACCCCCTGCTCCACCAGGGCCCCAGCGAGCCCCGGGCACTCTTACAGCCAGCCATGCGAGCACTGGAAGCACTGGGCTGATGGCTGGAGCATTGGGTGCACTGGGATGACACCTGGGAGCACTGGGTGCACTAGGCTGATGGCTGGGAACACTGGGCTGACAGCTGGGAGCATTGGGATGAAACTGGGAGCTCTGGGCTGACGGCTGGGAGCACTGGGATGACGGCTGGGAGCTCTGGGCTGATGGCTGGGAGCACTGGGCTGATGGCTGGATGCACTGGGCTGGGAACACTGGGAGGACACGGAGCGCTGGGATGATGCTGGGATCACTGAGCTGATGGCCGGGAGCACTGGGCTGATGACTGGGAGCACTGGGCTGATGGCTGGGAGCACAGGGCTGATGCCTGGGAAGACTGGGATGTCGCTGGGAATACTGGGAGCACCGGGCTGATGGCTAAGAGCACTGGGCTGATGGCTGGGAGCACTGGGATGATGGCTGGGAGCACTGGAATATCGCTGGGATTACCGGGAGCACTGGTCTGATGGCTGGGAGCATTGGGATGTCAGCTGGAGCACTGGGTGCACTGGGATGACACTGGGTGCACTGGACTGATGGCCGGCTGTTACACCAGAGCTCCCAGGAGTGTGCACTGACCCCTCCAAGAGCAGCTGTAGTCTGGCTGGGGCCGAGCGCCAGGCTGGACGCGGTGGGAGGATTGCCTGCATTCCCAGCATGCCTCCGGTGCTGGAGAGCCCTTTTGTGTCTCAGGGTCACACGGACATCCCAGTGCAGCCGTCCCAGGTCCACTTCCCCCCCAGCTCCCCACTCCGTCCCAGGTCCCCTTCCCACCTCCCCCACTCTGCCCAGGCCCACCCCCCCCCCTACTCTGTCTCAGGCCCGCTTCCCGCCCCACTCTGTCCCAGGCCCACTCCCCCCCCCCACTCTGTCTCAGGCCCACTCCCCCCCCCCACTCTGTCCCAGGCCCGCTCCCCCCCCCCACTCTGTCCCAGGCCCGCTCCCCCCCCCTCTGTCCCAGGCCCGCTTCCCGCCCCACTCTGTCCCAGGCCCACTCCCCCCCCACACTCTGTCCCAGGCCCGCTTCCCGCCCCACTCTGTCTCAGGCCCACTTCCCCCCCCCACTCTGTCCCAGGCCCGCTTCCCGCCCCACTCTGTCTCAGGCCCACTCCCCCCCCACACTCTGTCCCAGGCCCGCTTCCCCCCCCCGCCCCGACTCTGTCCCAGGCCCGTTTCCCCTGTCCCGCCCTGTCCCAGGCCCCCTTTCCCGCGCTCCATCCCAGGCCTGCTTTCCCTGCCCATTCTGTCCCAGGCTGTGGTGTGGGAGAGGGAGGCCAGGCAGTTCCCACTCCGTGCTCTGCACCTTCTCTGCGGTGCCATGTGGTGGGCGGCGGGGGGGGCACCTCGGGAGACAGGCCATGGCCCTGCACACACACGGCCACGGCACAGCTGTGTCCCGGCTGCCCCGCGGGGACCACGCAGCAGGGCGTGGTCTCTCCGTGGCGGCGCCGTGCCTCTTGGTGGAGTTCTCCCTGCAGGGTGCCTGCACAGCACATGTGTGCTTTCCCCAGGCCGCCACTGCGGGCACGTGGCTCAGGTGGCTGTTGTGTCTTCAGCTCACGGGGCCTCGCTTGCCTTCGCTGCCCCTTCGGTCGATGCTGACCTCCCTGTCTCCTCCAGGACGCGGAGCTCCCCCCGCGCTCTGAGCGCAGCCTCGCCCGTGAAGACGGGCCCACCATGTTCTATGGGACCCACTTCATCATGTCTCCGCCCGCCAAGAGCAAGCTGAAGCGGCAGGGCCAGCTGCTGTCGAGCGTGCTGTCCCGCACGCTGAGCTACAAGTACCGCGACCTGGACGCCACCTTCGCCGAGCTGGGCGCCAGCGACGACCCGGCGGAGCTCTCCACGCGGCTCTCGGCCCCCGGCGTGCTCAAGGTGTTCGGGGACAGCGTGTGCACGGGCGCCCACTACAAGAGCGTGCTGGCCACCGGCCGCTCCAGCGCCCGCGAGCTGGTGAGGGAGGCGCTGGAGCGCTACTCCCTGAGCCCCGACGGCGCCAGCCAGTACGTGCTGTGCGACGTGGTGGGCCAGGCCGGCGACTCGGAGCGGCCGTGGCAGGCGGAGTGCGTGCGGGTGTTCGGGGACAACGAGAAGCCGCTGCTGGTGCAGGAGCTGTGGAAGCCGCGCGAGGGCTTGTCCCGGCGGTTTGAGCTGAGGAGGAGGGCCGACGTGGAGGAGCTGGCGGCCCAGGACGTGGACACGGTGACGGCAGGTGAGTCCTCCGGGAGGGGCGGGTGGAGGCCGGGGTGCGGCCTGGGGCAGGCGTGTTTGCTGACGGGACCGTTGGACCTCGGTCGCGTGCTGCGGGCTTCGCGGCGGCGGCTTGGAGAGCGCAGCTTGTGTGTGCAGGGCCTGCGGAGCGCTGAGTGGCTGCGGGCGGTGTAGGGGAGCTGTTACCTTAAGCTGGTGGTCGGCAAACTGCAGCTCGAGAGCCACAGGCGGCTCTTTGGCCCCTTGAGTGTGGCTCTTCCACAAAACACCACGACCTGGGAGAGTCTATGTGGAAGAAGTGGCGTTAGAAGAAGTTTAAGTTTAAAAAATGTGGCCCTCAAAAGAAATTTCAATCGTTGTGCTGTTGATATTGGCTCTGCTGACTAATGAGTTTGCCGACCACTGCCCTAGGCAAATCGCTTCGCCCCTGTGGGCCTCAGATTTCTGACCTGGAGAACGGGTTCGGAAGTGATGTGCGTACAGCCCTGAGCACGGCCTCTGGAAGTGCCCGTGGTGTGGTGTCGTCGCTGCTGTTAACACTTCCTGCCCCTGCGAGCAGGGTGCTCCGGGCTCACGGGCCGGGCTGCCCAGACGGTGGGGAGGGCCTCGGACGGGCGCAGGCCTTTACCACTGATGTGCAGGGTTCCGCAAGGGAGGCCACACATAGAGGCCAACGTGGAGGATGTGATGGCTGTTTTAGGTCTTAAGCCTCAGACCGGCCCCTGATGGCCACCCCCATGGCCAGGCGTCCGGGGTTTACTGTCTCTTCCTGACCCTCCCCCTAGAAGACGTCCAGGAAGTTGGCTGGGGGTGGGTGCGGGGCCAGGCTCCGCTCCAGGCGCTTCCCGCTGCGGAGAGCGTGTGGACGCAGCCAGCTCGGCCTGTCCTGAAGGTCACGGCCGCAGGCCCGGGGTCGGCATGGGAAAGCTGCTCTGTGTCGCACGGCTAGTTCCTGGCGGGCCCGGGGCGGACAACACCTGCAGGGTGGCCTTGGTCTTCGCGCACTGCCCCTCGGACCCGTGCCTGTCCCAGCAGCTGCGGCCAGCCGAGGCCGCTGCCCACAGCCCATTCAGCGTGGTGGTGGCTCTGCAGAACCTTTCAAATAAAGAGCCCATTGAGCCGGCCGGTCTCACTGACACACTTCTCTGCGGAAGCGGGTTGTGTTACCGGCCCGAAGCAGGCCTTCAGACCCCAGGGAGGCAGCCTTCCTTGCTGGCCTTCCACTCGGGTGTGGTCTGGGCAGTGCCTCCTGACCTTGCCACCCCTGTTGCCGGTGGCAGTAGACAGCGTGGCGATGGGGACGGCGTGCTTGGAAAGATGGAGGCCGGCCAGGACGGCGGCCTGGGACAGACCCACACGGTCAGAGCCTGCTCCACACTTGACCAGGGTCAGACCTTTGAGCGAGCGTCTTCGTTTGGTTATCCCCGTGCTGCATGGATACGTGGACACAGGACTGTGTGTGCGCTCACACGTGTGCATGCATGGCACATACACTCTGAACGGCTCCCTGTGCAGGAGATGCTGCAGCTTCTGCGGCCTCGCAGGTGCCGCCGGCAGCCCTTCACCACCCTGTGGAGTCTGCTCACTGTCCTCTGGCCCCGAGGACCCGCGATGCAGTTGAGTGGCCCGGGCCCCTGCATCCTCACCTGCAGTGGGAACCACGGAGAGATCATAGCCACTGGGCCTGGCGGGCAGCTCAGTTGGTTAGAGCAGTGGTCGGCAAACTGCGGCTCTGGAGCCACATGCCGCTCACGAGCCGCGGTTTGCCGCTCTGTTGACTAATAAGGATAGGGGCTTAATCACAAGGAATAACAACAGCCTGTAATTACTGGAATCGAGAGTCTAGGTCAGAGGTCGACAAACTTCATTAGTCAACAGAGCGGCAAACCGCGGCTTGAGAGCGGCATGTGGCTCCAGAGCCGCAGTTTGCCGACCACTGGGCTAGAGCATTACCCCATACATACCCCAAGGTTGTGGGTTCGATCCCGGGTCAGGGAACATACAAGAATCAACCAATGAATGCACAGATAAGTGGGACAACAAGTCAATGTCTGTCTCTGTCTCTCTTCCCTCTTCCTCTCTAAAATTGATAACAAAACAAAACACCCAAAGCCACTGTGAGTGGAGTGAGGAATGAAAGGGTGTCGGCCCAGGGCTGGAAACTGGGCTACGTTTGATGAGAAAGGATCTGGGCTGGTCTGTCTGCCTGGGAGGGGCCTTTGCCCCACTTCTACCACCTGCAGGCGAGTTCCCCAGTGAGCAGTGGTGGAAAGGGAGGGACTGCCTGTGTGTGTGTGTGTGTGTGTGTGAGAGAGAGCGAGCGTGAGCTGGAGGAGCCCCCTGCATCCCGTCTCCTGCACGTGGACTGGCTCCCCGGGAAGTCACGTGGGAAAGCGGGTGTGCCAGACGGTGGAGGGGAAGCAGAATCCACCCCCACCCCCAGTGGGCTGGTGTCCGGTTCAGGCGCTGTGCTGTGTGCTGTCCTTAAACGCCGCCTTCCCGCTGTCCAGAGCATCCAGTGTGCGTCAGTTCTGGGGGCGCCGTGGCGTGGGGGGTGCAGGGGCTGCGAGCGGCTCCCCAGCAGCTCCGGAGGCGGCGGGGTCTCGGCTCCTGTGATAGAGGCCATCAGCCCCCGGGGGTGCGGGCCAGGCCCTGTGGTTTCCGCCAGCGGCCTGCAGGGCAGCCAGGCTGTTTGTGTTTCCAGGGCGGGGAGCACCCGCTGACAGTGTGGGCGCTAGTCCTCAGGCAGGGAGGGCGCCTAGCAGCACCTCCCGCCTTTCCCCAAGCCGGCTGCATGCCTACCCCTGGCAACCCAGTGTCTATGGGCAGTGCCCGGGGGCCTGGCCCTGGACTGGGGGCCGCGGGTTTGGATGAGCTGTCAGCCCTCCCAGCGCCGCGCCTGGGGCCATGCTGCCCCCCCTCCCCACACGCACTCCTGGGGGAGCCGCGGACGCCAGTGTCCTGAGAAGGGTGAGGGGGCATGCCTTTCCCGGTGGCTTGTTGGGCCTCCGAGGCGGAGGAAGTAGATCTGAGGTCTAAGAAATGGTGAGCAAGGCAATAGATGGTAGGTCAGGGCAAACGTAGAAAATAGTAAAAAAGCCAAAAACCGAGACCCCCCCTCCACCGCCCCAAGCGTGAAGCCCGAATTCCACCGCGGACCCCTGGAAACTACAACTCCCGTGAGGCTCTGCGCGGCACGCATGCGCCCTTGCATACGCGGCGTGTGCGGCAGTTCTAGAACGGCGCGGCGGGTGGAGGGCCAGGCGCCATGTTAGGGCCCAGGGGATAGCGGAGAGACGCTTGAAGCGGCGGGAGCGGAGCGGGAGCGGGTCAGACCTGGGCTGGTAGGAGCCCCGCCCCTCCCGCCTCAGCGGATCATGACCCGGGCAGCGGCCACGGCGGTCGCGGTGGCGGGGAACGTGGCGTGGCCGGGCCAGCGCTAGAAATGATGCCGTTTCCGGTGACAACCCTGGGATCACAGCGGACCCCGCCGCCACCCAAGCTCTATGGCATCTCCTCCCCCATCAGTTTAGCCGCCCCCAAGGAGACAGACTGCATACTTACCCAGAAATTAATTGAAACCCTGAAGCCCTTTGGGGTTTTGGAAGAGGAAGAGGAACTGCAGCGCAGGATTTTAATTTTGGAAAAATTAAATAATCTGGTAAAGGAATGGATAAGAGAAATCAGTGAAAGCAAAAGTCTTCCACCCGCTATAATTGAAAACGTTGGAGGCAAAATCTTTACATTCGGCTCGTACAGATTGGGGGTGCACACGAAAGGGGCCGACATAGACGCACTGTGCGTCGCGCCAAGACACGTCGACCGAAGTGACTTCTTCACTTCCTTCTATGCTAAGTTGAAACTACACGAAGAAGTAAAAGACTTACGGGCTGTTGAGGAGGCATTTGTGCCAGTTATCAGGCTGTGTTTTGATGGGATAGAGATTGATATTTTGTTTGCAAGATTAGCATTGCAGACTATTCCAGAAGATCTGGACCTAAGAGATGACAGTCTGCTTAAAAATTTAGATATTAGATGCATAAGAAGCCTTAATGGTTGCCGGGTAACCGATGAAATCTTACATCTAGTACCAAACATTGACAACTTCAGGTTAACGCTCAGAGCTATCAAACTGTGGGCCAAATGCCACAACATCTACTCCAACATACTGGGCTTCCTGGGAGGCGTTTCCTGGGCCATGCTGGTGGCAAGAACTTGCCAGCTTTATCCAAACGCGGTGGCGTCAACTCTTGTGCGTAAGTTTTTCTTAGTGTTTTCTGAGTGGGAGTGGCCAAACCCGGTGCTCCTGAAGGAGCCCGAAGAACAAAACCTTAACTTGCCGGTATGGGACCCGAGAGTGAACCCCAGCGACAGGTACCACCTCATGCCGATCATCACGCCGGCGTACCCGCAGCAGAACTCCACGTACAACGTGTCTGTCTCCACAAGGATGGTCATGATCGAGGAGTTCAAGCAGGGCCTAGCTATCACACACGAGATTCTGCTGAGTAAGGCAGAGTGGTCCAAACTTTTTGAAGCTCCAAGCTTCTTTCAAAAGTATAAGCATTACATTGTCCTCCTGGCAAGCGCACCAACAGAAAAGCAGCGGCTGGAGTGGGTGGGCTTGGTGGAATCAAAAATCCGAATCCTGGTGGGAAGCTTGGAGAAGAACGAGTTCATTACGCTGGCTCACGTGAACCCTCAGTCATTCCCCGCGCCCAAAGAGAACCCCGACAAGGAAGAGTTTTGCACAATGTGGGTGATTGGGTTAGTGTTAAAAAAGCCGGAAAATTCTGAAGTTCTCAGTATCGACCTCACCTATGATATCCAGTCTTTCACAGACACAGTTTATAGGCAAGCAATAAATAGTAAGATGTTTGAGATGGATATGAAAATCGATGCAATGCATTTAAGGAGAAAGGAGCTTCACCAGCTGCTACCTAATCACGTGCTTCAGAAGAATAAAGCGCATTCGATGGAAGATGTCGGGTTGACAGCTCT